AGCAGCTACTGAAGACGAATGAATGAATGAATGAATGAATGAATGAATGAATGAATGAGTTTTGTCTGGTGGCTGATGTCCAAATTCTGAAGCCAGGTAAAGAAGTTAAAAACAATTCTGATGAAATAGCTAAACAGGCTTTGTCTGAGACGCAGTATAATATGAACTGTGTGTCAGTTCAAATTAAATCCAACGTTAAAATGAGCATGGAAGCTCTGATGGATACTCAAATGACATTATAAATTAAAGACTCAGTATTCATACACAAATCCAAAAAAGCATACACAACAATCTCTACCCGTCTGTTTCTGAACTTCAGACCATGAGGTTTTAGTTTTATTAGCTAATTACGACCTTCATTCTTATCTCCATTTTGTCAAGCTGCCAAAAATAGACAGTTAAATATGAACACCTTAAAGAAATGTAAACGCTTTCTTTATACAAATGCACAAATAACAGCACACACTCGCATACACACTCGCACGCACGCACACTCGCACACTCGCTCAAGACATACATGCCGTCCTTGAGAGTCTGCTACAAAATACACCTGGATATGAATCAGACACAGAGTGAACAAATGAATGAAACAAAATAGTGTGTGTGTGTGTGTGTGTGTGTTGTATAAATGCTCTTTCAACTCATTATGATTCAGGACAATGACTGTGATACCAGACATCAAAGTAATAAAAAAGAAGGAGAGAAAGAAAGATGGGGGTGACATTGCAACGGACATGAGACACTAGACACGAGACGACAAGGAGAAACGGTGTCCCTGTCAGATTAACTTCTCTCTCTCTCTCTCACTCTCTCTCATGCTCTCCTTTCACTTCTCTCTCCTACACACTTTCGCCCTCAGTCTCTCCAACTCTGAAAACCTCACACGTACATTATTCTGTCTCTCGTCCTCTCCGTTTCCACCGATTGGACAGTGCACAGCCCATGTCTGACTGAAAGGCTCAAGAGCACAGGACAACAAGATGATAGACGAGTTGATTTGATTACTCACGTCCGCTTATTCCAATAACAGTCATCTTTCTTCCACACAGCTCATACTTGGGGATGAGGTCACCTTGGATTTATGGAGGAAAAGAAAAAGCAGACAGGATGAGGGGCGAAAAGGAAGAAACATGAGAAAAGGACAACAGAGATAGAGAAAGACATGCACAGAAGGAGAGGCGTGGCCCATGGAACAACAAGTGTGAGGTGAAGGAGAAGAGAGGAGAAAGCCCAGACAGTGGTGTTCTTCACATGTACATGCAAGCCTGGCACAGTCAATAACTGCTGAGCTTTGATTCCACTGATTAAATCTGATTAAATTAAGGAGGCAGTTACACTCACGCCCTTTTTAACCCACTCCAGACTGTGTGTGTGTGGGTGGAGGGTGTATCTGTATTCTCAACAACATTAGGCAGATCTAACAGCATGGCCCACGGCCATACAATGGCTCTGCCTATATAAGAGACTGAATAGTGGGTTGAATAGAACATAATGTTCCTTTCATGTGCTGCATTGTGTGAATAGCAGGTCTGTGTGATATGTCTGATGACAATATTGCGATATATTCACATTACGATGCATTTTATAATCATCAGCGGTATCGTGTCAGTGCCTTTACAACACCACTGTTAATCAGTTGAACAAGTGACTGATGCCTAACTTTGTTTTGTTTTTTTTTTGCTTTATGTGGATAATCCACTGTAGACACTGTCAACAACCTGTCAGCTTCAATTCAGTTCCAGTGAATTCAATTCAGTTTTATTGGTACAGCACAACAATAGACACGTTATAAAGAAGATTCACAGAAATCCGGATGTAGATTTAGGTCCCAACTGAGCAAGCCAGAGTGGGGAGGAAAAACTCCCCGAGAAGATACGAGGTCAAAACCTTCTCAAGATGGAAGTCATCCTCTTCTGGGTGACACCAGTTAATGGGATTATAAATCATTACTCTTCTATAGCTGTATATCATAAAGTCAGTGCGGTATGAAGAGTACTCCCTGTGTTGAAAGGATGTTCAGTATGAGCCTTTTGTGATGAGCATGATTTGGACTTTATGATTACAGCAGCAGTTGTTAGGCACAAGTCTACAGTATCCTGGTGAGACTACCTACTGAAGGAAGGATGAATCTTTGGTATAAATAGGTTTTTGGTAAGTGTAAATCTTTGCGGTATCCATGTCAGACTATCAGATGTAGAGTCACAATCCAACGGTTGAAATGTTGACGTTTAGTAGATGTCTACCTGCAAGGTGACTGTTACTTAAAGCAGAAGAGGTACATAACAGCACTGTGCTACAATTTATTTTCCTTTGTTTCATGCTTCCACTTACCTGCATGTTCCTGGTTCTGAAAAATTGTCTCTCGTAGGTGCATGCTAATTAATCTGCCTGGTAAAAAAGCATTCTACCATCAACCAGATCGCGCCTCAGCCTGTGTGTGTAGTCCAGCAGGTGGTGGGAAGCATGCGCTACAGCTACAGTTGTGAAGCTTATTAAGTTTTAAACATATGCAGCAAATAACTTTTACTTTTGTGAGCGTCAATACAGTGTAGGGTTTGTTTCTTTTTCTTGTTAATGAACCCACTTGTCCGCCAGGCGACTATAAATAAAAAGACTAATAGCCCAGGCTAGTGATTTGTCTCCAGGCTAGTGATTTGTCTCCAGGCTAGTGATTTGTCTCCAGGCTAGTGATTTGTCCACTGCTGCTTATTAGTAAGTGCTCTAGAAACACATCATTGTTACCTGCCTTTATATAAACAACTTAAACATCACAAACTACCTAGCAAACCATAACAACAAAAAAAGTGTTTTTGAAATTTTATTAGTATTATATACACCACTATCAGGTACCTGAAGGCTTTAGTGGTCGCTAAACATTTATATATGAAGTTGCCCGTGCTGGTACCCGTGTTGACACGTGCACTGAAAGAACCTATTCAAAAAGCACAACGGTATACCAGAGCATATGCTGTGGAAATGTATCGCAAATATCAAGTATTGTGATTTGATTTTCTGACAGCATCATTTAACATTTCATACAGCCATGCATGGAGGTGAAGTGTACTGTATGTGGGTACTAGTGATCACATTACATGAGCTGTCTGATTTCTCTGAAGTGATGATTAACAGATTAAGGAGGACAGACTTCCTCTTCCGCAGATAAAAATTCATTTATATCCCACAGTACAGATTTATATCCCACAGTACAAACACACACACACACACTCACACACACTATTCACTCTGTGATCCCTGATTACTATGTGTAATTTAATGCCTGTCTGCTGAAGCTAATCTCTGCTGTGTGAGTGTTTGTGTGTAGTGCACAAAGATAGGTGGGTGAGTGAAGCAATATATTTTGACGAACAAGTATGTGTGCGTGTGTGTGTGCGTGTGTGTGTGTGTGTGTGTGTGTGTTTTGTTCAAGTGAGAGCAGCTGAGTAAACACACAGGGACAGGGCAAAAGGATTGGCCTCAGTTTACGGAAACCTCCTGATGTACAGTAACTCCTGTACAAATCAGCACAACACACACAGTCACATACCTTCTATATTCATGCACACAAACACTGGCATCAATGGAAACCTGTGTGTTCAATCCTAGTTTTCCGTCTGTCCTGTGTCCGCTGTCTATTGCTTCCGTCCTACATAATGACTAGTGTCAAGTCGTGTTTTAACATTTCAAGCTGGCTAGATTGATTTGGTCATAAAACAGCAGTTTTATGCAGTTTTAAGACACTGCTCATACAAATATTAAGTGTACTTACCCTGATCTCACCTTTGCCTATTTTTGAATCCCTGTTAAAATGTGCTACTCATAAGCAAAACCGTAACTGGTCAGATTGGTGACTCATGGTGCCACACTTCTGTTACCAAATGCCTGAACAAGAGCAGACAGATCTGCCTAGACAAGACCCACACACTGAGAGCTATGATTGCTCTACTGAATATTTAGTCAATTTTAAGCAATGCATAGCGCACGTGTGTGCACTAAATGCACAAACAGTTAATATAGTAGCAGTAAACAAAAAGGAACTGCTGCAATTAGATTGGAGAAAGTGAACACACCAAATACCATGTGAAAGCACTACGAATCAATACTCTTCAGAACGGATCAAATCAGTGATGGACAGTAGACGTGTCCCAATCTACTCTGCATTGTCCAACAATGTAAACCCAGGAACTCGTATTAACTGTATTCCTAAATTTCCCAGCACAATCAAAACAGAGGGCTTTGAGTGTGTATATATATATATATATATATATATATATATATATATATATATATATATATAAATATAATGTGTATGTACACTATATTGCCAAAAGTTTTGGGACGTCTGCCTTTACATGCACACGAACTTTAATGACATCCCATTCTTAATCCGTAGGGTTTAATATGGAGTTGGCCCACCCTTTGCAGCTATAACAGCGTCAACTCTTCTGGGAAGGCTTTCCACAAGGTTCAGGAGTGTGTTTATGGGAATTTTTGACCATTCTTCCAAAAGCGCATTGGTGAGGTCAGACACTGATGTTGGACGAGAAGGCCTGGCTCTCAGTCTCCGCTCTAATTCATCCCAAAGGTGTTCTATCGGGTTGAGGTCAGGACTCTGTGCAGGCCAGTCAAGTTCCTCCACGCCAAACTCGCTCATCCATGTCTTTATGGACCTTGCTTTGTGCAATGGTGTGCAGTCATGTTGGAACAGGAAGGGGCCATCCCCAAACTTTTCCTACAAAGTTGGGAGCATGAAATTGTCCAAAATGTCTTGGTAAGTGAAGTGACATGTGACTAAGTATGGTGACCCATGGAATCTGTGCTCTGCATTTAACCCATCCAAGTGCACACACACACACCGTGAACACACACCCGGAGCAGTGGGCAGCCTTTTTTTGCTGCGACGCCCGGGGAGCAGTTGGGGGTTCGGTGCCTTGCTCAAGGGTCTCACCTCAGTCATAGTATTGAGGATGGAGGAGAGCGCTGGTCATTCACTCCCCCCACCTACCTGCCGGCCTGAGACTCAAACCCGCGACCTTCAGGTTCACCTTCGGATTACAAGTCCAACTCTCTAACCATTAGGCCACAACTGGTATGCTGAAGCATACCCTGAAAAACAACCCCACACCATAATCCCCCCTCCACCAAACTTTACACTTGGCATAATGCAGTCAGGCAAGTACCGTTCTCCTGGCAACCACCAAACCCAGACTCGTCCATCGTATTGCCAGACAGAGAAGCGGGATTCGTCACTCCAGAAAACACGTCTCCACTACTCTAGAGTCCAGTGGCGGCGTGCTTTACACCACTGCATCCGACGCTTTGCATTGCACTTGGTGATGTAGGGCTCGGATACAGCTGCTCGGCCATGGAAACCCATTCCATGAAGCTCTCTACGCACTGTTCTTGAGCTAATCTGAAGGCCACACGAAGTTTGGAGGTCTGTAGCTATTGACTCTGCAGAAAGTTGCCGACTTCTGCGCACTGTGCGCCGACCCCGCTTCATGGCTGAGTTGCTGTTGTTCCCAATTGCTTCCACTTTGTTATAATACCACTAACAGTTGACCGTGGAATATTTAGTAGTGAGGAATTTTCACGAATGGACTTATTGCACAGGTGGCAACCTATCACGGTACCACGCTTGAATTCACTGAGCTCCTGAGAGCGACCCATTCTTTCAGAAATGTTTGTAGAAGCAGTCTGCCTGCCTAGGTGCTTGATTTTATACACCTGGTGTAGAAGAGCTAACCAAAGGAAAAGGAATATGAAAACAAAAGGATAAATGCTACTGTTGGAAGACCGCCCCATGCCCTTGCTCCAGGATAAATACAAGCAGACCTTAACACCAGGAATAGCTCTTAAAAAGTGTAGGGTTGTGGTTTCGGAAACGCATTTGTCATAAGTGTTGTGTTAAGGCACACGGCCAGAGGGCTTGTATGACTGTGTGTGGTGTGTCTTAAGAATGTGTATTGGTGTCCAGATAGCTCAAAGACGGAGACTAAATTACACAACGTTCTGAAAGGAAAAAAACACTTTAAAGTCTACGTTAATGTTCTTTCAAGAAGCAGCCTGTAGTCAGATACGTTTCAGCCTATATTTAGAAAGTGATCTTGAACACAAAATGTCTGCATTCCTTTTAAACCCTCAGCAGTAAGTAAAACAAAGAAAAAAAAAAGTCAGATGTGAACCTACCGCTGCTGTTCGCAGTTCTCTTTTGGCTGCCCTGTGATCAGGAACTACGCATATCTGCAGCAACAATATGAACCTATAAAAGAAACATAGAAGCTTAGGAATGACTCATTTATAATTAGGACAGAAAATGTTCGGTTTATGATAATTGTTCACGTCCACACATGTTCTAACCAGGCTAGCTCGAGTGGAAAATTATTTAGCAAAATGCAATATTGTTAGCAGCTCAGGCACACATGTAAAAGTTACCAGTCACTCTTAAACAGTAAGGCGAAACGTACAAAGCAGCATATCATTACATATTTTAAATGACCACATCAATTACACAGAAAGAGCTAAAGGGAACTTCCATTTCTGACACGATGTGATTTAAAAAAAAAAAAAAAAAAGCGGGAACTGTCTTCACAAAGAATAATTTTGCAGTTAGTAGCCCTGATGCAAGCTTTTTTAAAGTCTGAATGAAGCCAGTTTAGTTCAGCTTTAGGTTTTGTGCTGCGTATTAACTGTTAGAGGGCTAACGACATGCAGGGAATTTGACCTCATATAACCTCACATTACAGAGCTTAATGATGTTGCAAGACAAGGTGCAAAGTACTTTACCTCCCAAAAATTTTCCACTGTGGCTTAATTTTATTCCAGTTTTAAAAGGTCGGATCAATCCAGACTCTCAGACTCTCAAAGCTATTAACCATCTAAAAAAACTTCAAGAGATATAAGCTTAAGATTTCCTCCTTATTTGGGACTGATATGCTGATGGAATAATCACCTTATGTTTGACTCCCAGATGTATCTATTCCTAGAACACATCTCCTTTTCCACTAGTAAAACAATTAGTGGCTAAATACCTTGAGGCAGACGGTAAAGAAGTCAGGCTAAGTGTACTTTTTTAGCCTAAAAATATTGCAGACTAGATGAAACCAGTCCTACAGTCAACTGCACATTGTGTGGAACTACACTGAGAAAAGTCTTTTTTTTCCCCCTTTCGCTTTATTGGAATGTTATCATTTTCATATCAATTTGCATAAAGTGTAGACGTGTACACGAGACGTTTTTTTTTTTTTTTTTTTTCCACTCAACTCCCACCCATTCCTGAAATAAATTCCTCCCACACTTATTTTTGTTATCCTTCTAAATAAAAACTGTGCCATAGTGAATTCCGTTGTGACCAGTGCTGTGTGAAAGAGCAGATTCCATGCTGTGGATTTTACTTCACAATGAAACCCCAATCATCTAGTTTAGAGCAGCGTATGCCAGCTCACAGAGGCCGATCCAGACTTGTTTATGGATGCTACAGAGGCTGGAGTTGAACATGGTGGAAAAACCTCCCAGACGGTGCTGCAGCCAAGAAAGGATGCTCATTGAGCTATAAGAATTGCTCAGTTGCAAAATCAACTGTTTCAGCTGAGCCACCAGATCATCCACACAAGAATCGTTAAATAGTGTAATATCATTCCCAGATTTATTATTGTGCATTCATATATATATACACTGCCCTCCAAAAGTTTGGAAACGCCTGAACAAAATAGGGTTTTTGGGCAATATCAGCATAAATCCTCTTTAGTTAGTGACCATTTTGCATTGATAATAAGGGACAACACTAGGCATCCGAGCAGTCAGTTTATTCAAACATTGACTTGATATATTACTCCAAGCCTCCTGGAGGATTGCCCA